TGAGCCACAGGGGCCGCCCATGCCTGCAGCTTTCTGAGTATAAGTTAGTGTTTTACGAAAAGAGATATGAAAAAAAAACAGCAAAACAGGAAATGGGGTAACAGAGTCCAAGGATGATTAACTCCAATGTCTGTGTCCACAGCTCACTCCTGGGATCTTGACTCTAACTTGACTCTGTCACTCCACTGTCCTCACCATCACCTGGCCATGTCCTCATACCCTGGATGAGAGCAGACATCCGCTTACAGCTAGTTCAGCCTGACCACAGCCCTGCAAGTGCCCCCTGGCTCTTCTTCTTCCCGTCCTCCTCCCACAGAGGACTCCTCTCTCTTCTCCCCCACGCCACTGTGGCACCTGCCCCTCAGCTTTCTTGGAACCATCCCAACCTGTAGCTCCCCCACCCACCAACCAACTAAGGCCACTGCCCTGGGAAGCCCCTTCTCTTGTGCACCAATATCCCCCTCTCACAGCCTCCAGCAAGGCCCTGCTGACTCTCCTGTCCCCAAAGACCCCTCCTCTTGACCTTGTGCTCCCTGCCAGCCACCATCCCATTTTTCTACTCCCCTCTGCTCCACCCCTGTTCCTCTCCTTGTTCTCTATAGCCCACCAGTCAGGCTGAGCCTTGCTGCTCTCAGCCCTTCCCACCTGGCGTCAGCCCTGCTACCTGTGCCGGCCTCCCGGGGCACTGGGAGCTGGGTGCTCTCTGGGTCTCCTTCCCTGCACAGGCTGCTCCTCCCCTCCTCAGCTCGCCCCTGCAGGCGACACAGGGTGAACACTGGGTCTCGCACTCGCCCCCAGGGACTGCAGGTGTGTCTTCACAGGCCTTCTAGTGTCACAACTCCCATTTTATTTCTCTAACTCGTCTTTCATAGACGTTTAGACTCTGGTTCCAACCACCTGCCTGATGCTTCTGCTTAAACAGCCAGGTGGCAGCTCAGACTCAGCACCCTGCATTGGCAGCACAACCCGACTCTGCCTTCCCCACGGCCTGCACCTTCATATCCCCATGTCCACTGATGACAACGCCACGTTTCTACTTGTCCAAGCCATGAGTAAAGGGAGCTGTCCTTGACTGCTCTCTTTACCCCACACCTAGTGCATCAGCGCAGCAAGCTGGCAGCACACACAGTATACACACCCAAACCTGCTGCCTGGCCGTACTCACCCTGGTGTCACCACCACCTGGTTTGGTCACTGTCCCTTCTCTCCCAGATCATTGCGAGAGCCCCACCTGCTCTCTGGCTAACATCAGGCCCCTCTGCCTGCCCACCTGGCCCTGGCACCTATCTGCTCTCAGTACATGAGCCAACACAGTCCCTTTACACTCCTTGCTGTGCAGCACCCCCAGCACTCCCTGCTCCCCACTCTGGACCCAGCCCCTGCCTTGAAGGCACGGCACACTCCTGAATGCACAGCATGCTCCTGCCTCAGGACCTGGCCTTCCCTCAAATGTCCATCCACTTCTTCAGATCTTTGCTTGAATGTCAACTTCTCAACTGCTGCTGCCTTGACTGCCCCTTTATGAAACTCTACCCAGGCACTCGGAGCCCCACAGCTCATCACTTTCCAGCACACTGTGGAAGTTGGGGGTGTTGCCTGTCTGCCAACTTCACTGAATGCAAATTCAACTGAATTGGGGGTTTTCTGTTTTTCTCAGTGACACAGTTATCTGGAATAATGCCCGGTACACAGCAGGTGCTCTTTCTCTCTCTTGCTGAGAGAACGAATTGTTCTATTTCAGCCTTGGACTGGTTTGTCATCCTCTCTGCTTTATACATTATTAGCTAAGCTCCCCTGGGGTGGGAAAGATTTCTCATTAAGAAGTCATTAAGCCTGGGACACCATTCTGGTGCTTGAGCTGGTGTGAGCCCCCCAACCACTTCTCCTGCAGAGAGGGGCTGGGGCTCACGGTCCACGGCCACACCACAGTGACGCTGATGACCAAAGTCCAATCTCTGTGCTGACGAACAGGCCCCATGTGACATGGGCTCCAGGAACCACAGCAGGGAAGGTCCAGGCCCCTAAACGCCTGGAGGACTGTTCACTGTGACTCAGAGCAGAGCCTGGCTGCACCAGGACCACGCAGGCCCTGCCCTCCCCAGGTGCCCACCTTGTGTGTGCTTTGTCCCCACAGCCCAGAAGAGCTCGCTCCGTGGGGCTGCACACTGGGAAGAACCAGGGGAGGGATCTGGGCTCTGCCACAGCCAGCACCATATTCTCAGCAAATTATGGAGGGTCTGCTATGGACAGGCCACTGACTGGGCTTCTGAAGGCCCAGTGACACACGAGAAGGGAGAGACCCAATCTACTCTAATCTGTGAATGGCTGTCTGGCACATGGAAGGAGGCTCCCCACAGAAGCACTGTCTCAGATACATTTACGTCCAGATGCAATATGGAGATGGTCACAGGCTAAGGGAGTGACTCCCCTTTTGGGGGAGCATTCAGGTATCACCTGTCCACTGCACGGCCAGCACAGGATGTCTGGTCACCTGGTAGTAGTGAATCAGTTCCTCTAGCTCATCAGCGTGAATGACGATGTGAAGGCCACATAGCTGTGCAAGGTTGAACTGCTGTCCGTCCATGCAGGCAAAGCACACCTAGAGGGGAGGGTCAGCAGGGACGTCACAGGGCAGGACACCATAGCAGTGGGCTCACAGGGCGCTGCTGCAAATGCAGAGACACCAGCAAATGGGGCTTAAAAAGTCAGATCATGAGGGTGTGGGAAAGACAGTGCCATATATAACCTGCAGGCCACGGGGGTGTTTGAGACCGTGGAGAGAATAACCCCACCTGGGATTACAGGCGTGAGCCACTGTGCCCAGCCCACACGGGTTTTTAAAGTATGATGATGCTTACAATACTGATTAATTCCGTGGTACCAAGGCAATTGCCAGGAGCTACTTGGTCTGACACAGGTCTTTCCGGACCTCTGCTTCCAAGCATAAATACCAGCTCAGAAGGTTCTCTGAGCTATCCCAGAAGATTCAGCCCCCCACCTGGACAAGAGGCCAGCACCGAGACTCATCCTACTGGGAAGAGTGTGGAGTCAACAAGAAGGCCTGCTTCTGGAGATGCTGTCCGCCTACCTCCTTCCAGGTCTGTGTGCTATTGGCCTTGTGGCTGCTGTCCACAGCTGCCTGATACTCGCCGAGGTGGACTAGGGTGGACGCCAGGAGGGCAAAGTTAGAGACACTGCTGTATAGCAGCTTGGCGGCCTCGTACATGCCCTCCTTGTAGCAGCGGTCTCCGACCTGGGGATGATGAGGCAGCCCTGTTGAGACGATCTTCAGCGAGAGCTTTCTCAGGGCTGGTTTGATGTTCCCAGGGGGCAGAGCCACTTCCGACCTGCTGGAGAGGTGAGCCTCCCTCTGAGCCCACCAGCTGCAACGAGCTGCCCAGAGACCAGAGAATGAAGCGAGCCCCCAGCCCTGGACGCCTCCTCCACCCGCCTGGCCTGGCCCTGCACACCGGAACTTCAGGCTTGGCTGTTCCCTCCCAGACCTGTAGCCCAGGGCTGGGCTAGGAGCCGAGCTCTGCAGTGTAATGGATCTTGTGTCAGGCACCACCCACCAGCCCTAGTTCCTGACACCATTTATAAATCTTTCGTATCCTCTGACCATTTGTTTGGTTTCCTCTGAGTCCTTTGCTCTCAGGACCACATCTTGCTCCTGACAACAGCCAGGCAGTGCCATGGCCATACCCCAGACCAGGGGTGTCCAACGTTTTATTTCTCTGCTTCACACTGGAAGAATAAGAGTGTCTCGGGCCACAGTAAACAAACAGCACGGATGGCAGGTAGTGAGCAAGGACAGGTCCGTGTGTCCTTTTTGTAATATCTGACACCACAGATTATCAGAAAGTCCTCAAAGAATCAGCCCATGGCCCACAGGCCACAAGTTGGGCACCCCTGCGCTAGACCTTGGCCGAGAGCGGTCAGCTCTGGGACCAACCGTTAGAAGTACCCTCTGTCTGCCCAGCACCCTTCTCCTGACCAGCTCACTGTCCTGACTCCCTAAACCCCACCAGTCCAGCAACCTGGCCAATTTCCCATCGCTCGGCCACCCTGTCTGTATCCGGCCAGCGCCAGTGCCCAGCTGGTGCCTGTAGAGCCTGCTGGCTCCTGGCACTCACCCTGGACCCTACTGCTTATTCTCAGTTCTTCCCAGGACCAGTACTCTGCACACTCCACACCTGCGGCCTCGGAGCCACACAGAGACAGCAGAGCCCCACACCCTGACCACTGACCTCAGGGGGCTGGGAGCACTCCCACCCTCCTTCTCTCTCTAATATGTGGCTTCTCTCCCTGTCAGCTGCTGGATAGCCCTTCTTGCCCCAAACCTCCAACAACTCTTCAAGCTGAGTGTCCTTCATTTTCCCAAGAAGACAGAAGTCATCAGAAGAAGCTACCAGGATGCCACTGAGGCCAACCCCCCTGAACACAAGGCCCTGCCCTCTGCCCGGGGTCAGTGTTGCCCTCTATGAAGCCATGCCTACGAGCTCAACAAACCACTGTGACTTTCCCCAGGTTAGAACCAAACCAGTCCTGTTCACTCTTTCCTCACTGGGCTGGGGCTGCCCGCCTCTTCCCCACCCCCCTGCAGAGCACACATCTCACCAAGCTGTCAGGTGTTTGTGAGGCTGCCCTGACTCTTCCTCTCTGCACCTGCTGCCGTCAGGGCCTCTGCCCGACTCTGCCAGGGCCAATGCTTGGTTCCCAGACAGATGCCCACCTCCCTCCCACCTCTCCCCGCTGCCTGGCTCTGGAGGCCCCAGTCTTGTCTGCACCCTCTTGCTCTGGCCCTATACCCCTGCCATGCTCTCCCACATGGGTAGGGGCCATAGGCATCCCCTCTACCCCAAAGCCCGGCCCTGAACATCTCTAGTCTGGACTTCTCCCAGGCCGAACTCCTATGTCCAGCTGGACAGAGCCACGTGGTAGCCAACAAACATGAGTCCTGACCCCCAGGCAGTCTCCACACAGAACCCCCAGGCCCCACGACCTGCCCTCGCTGGTTTCCTCTCACAGCATCAGCTCTGCCTCAAGACACATCGGAGCAGATTATGCTTTACTTACCCCCTCCTGTCAGCTGCACGTCCCTGCCCCTCACTGGCCTCTGTGCCTGCCGCTCTATCCTCTCTATCACTCTGGTCTTCACCCCCCACTGTCGGTTGCACGGTCCTGCCCCTCACTGGCCTCTGTGCCTGTAGCTGTACCCTTGCTGTCACTCTGGTCTTGGAATGTCAGCCAGATGGTTTCTCCTGACTTGTGATCAGACCATGTCCCTCTTCTGCTCAAACTCCTCCAGTGTCCCCAGGGCAGCAGCGAGAGTGCTGATGAAGACCCACAGATCTGGGCCCATGTCCACCAGTGCCCACATCTCTCCAGCTGCCACCTGCCCTGCACACACCCAGTGTTCCTCGGGGCCCTGCACCCAACCTGCTTTCTGTTCTTGGGGCTCCTCCCAGAGGGGTATAGACTCAGCACCCACCAGGGGCCCTGTCTGAAACTGGGACACCCAGCCTCACCCCCAACTTCACTTCTTTCCTTCACACTCGCCACTTCACACGCTGCAATATCATCATGGGTCCTGGGATCCACATGGGCAGAAATCTGGCTCCTCCACAGCCCTACTGAGGTACATAGCTGATGCTCAACAAAACTCTGGTGATGATTATGTAAGTGAGGTCTTTACCACAGAGGGCACTTTTTGTGACTCCTAATTTAAAGGAAACACAGGGAAAACAACATCTGTGTGGGCAGTGGGCTGAATTGGGCCCCCAGGCTGCAGGAGGACTGCAGGGGGCGTGGGGCAGCCAGGCCTCGGGGCCACCACCAACACAGAGGCAAAGAGCCCAATAGGCCCTCGGCCTGCCCAGCCAGCCTTATGACGGAGCTTCTGCCCTGCCCTGCCCTGCCACAGACTCTGGAGAAACCTGTTACTAGTTCAGAGGGAGGTTTGGGGAAAGGGTTTGTTTCCTATCATTTTAATTAATTTTCTAATTTAAAGGCAAAATTTTGGAAGTTACATGGGTGTATGGTCACTGATTAAAAAAGAACTTTTCAAACACAGGCAATTAATAGGAAAATAACATGCCCATTCCACATCCGAGAGTCGTCTGCTGTTCTCGTCTTAGGAAGTTTTCTAGGCATGAAGTTTTTAACTTTGCTTGAACTAATTTTGAAAGGTTTTTCTATCACCAGCCAGGATTTTATCCTTTGTTTGTTTGTTGTTGTTGTTGTTGTTGTTTTGAGACAGGGTCTTGCTCTGTAGCCCAGACTGGAGAGCAGTGGTGTCATAATAGCCCACTGCAACCTTGAACCGTTGGGCTCAAGTGATCCTCCCACCTGAGCCTCCTAAATAGCTGGGACTGCAGGTGTGAGCCAACATACCTGGCCTAAATTTATTTTTATTAAGGATAAAACCCCTCAATTTTTACAGTTTTAATTTTTTCATCTGGGATTTCATTTTGATTACAGAATTCCATGGCATTTTAACTCCTGTCTAAACTTTAACCTAATTTATTTCCAACAATTACTTGGAACTTAGTTTGAAATAAACAAATTCAAAGTCACATTAGTGCTATTTATTTCCATGAATTGTGTGCTCTTTCAAGAAGGGTGTTGGAATTGACGTAGACGTAGGGTGAGAATACACACTATCACCTCGTCACCTCTGTCAAGGTTCTCCAGGGATAACATTTCACCCACACGCCGACTTCACGATTATTTAGATCTTTCTTTTATTTAATAGTCTTCTTTGTTAAGGTTTATTTTAACAATTTGGTTTTATTCCTTTTTGTTATTGTTGCACAGGCTGGAGTGTAGTAGTGCAATCACAGCTCACTGCTATTACCTTGAACTTCTGGGCCTTCTCAGCCTCCCAAGTAGCCGGGACCACAGGCCTTTCTTTTCTTTCTTCATCTATCTATCTATCTATCTATCTATCTATCTATCTATCTATCTATCATCTCACTCTGTCAGCCAGGGTAGAGTGCTGTGGTGTCATAGCTCACAGCAACCTCAAACTCTTGGGCTCAAGTGATTCTCTTGGCTCAGCTGAGACTACAGGTGCCTGCCACAGCAACTGGCTAGTTTTAGAGACAGTGTCTTGCTCTGGCTCACACTGGTCTTGGACTCCTGAGCTCTGGCAATCCACCTGCCTCGGCCTCCCAGAGTGCTGGGATTACAGGCGTGAGCCATTACACCTGGCCTCTTTTTTTTTTTTTTTGGAGAGAGAAAGTCTTGCCATGTTGCCTGGGCTGGTCCCAAATTCCTGGTGATCTTCCCACCTCAGCCTCCCAAAGTGCTAAGATTACAGGCGTGAGCCACCGAGCTGGGCCTTATTTCTATTTAGAAAGGAACATTTCCTTCCCCACTGAATCATGTGATCACGGCTGACATCTGAGAAAGCTATTAGTTTTTATATTTTATGCATCCTATTACTAATTCTGAGTTAAACAGTTAGCTTTCTTTCCTCATGGTGAACAGAATACCTACATGTAGGTCCTCACATCTCCTCTTCTAGGAGGACCACTCTGATGTGCACAGACAAGGGAAGCTGAAACCCCGCAGCTCTGCATTCTCCAGCAGCGCCCCCAACGTGGTTCCTAATTCCTCGCACAGCTTGTTTCTTCCCATCATGACTGCACAGCATCATGATTCTGCTCGGCTCTAAGGAGTGTCCCTGGCTTCAGCCAGACCATGGCAGCTCATAGCCCTGGGGACACAGCCTACCTGCTGGACATGGGCGTTGTTGGGTCCACTGATACAATCTTCCAGTTCAGACAGATGGCTGGTTTTAGCCAAGGCAAACATAAGTTCTATCTCTACGTAAGACTCACGGCCCTTCTTCCTGGCCATCTGCAGGAATTTAACTAGGTCCTCCCAGTTGTCTAAAGACAGAAAATAAAGACGGATCAACTCAGAGCTGATAGTTTCAATCATGGGCTCAATTTCTCCCTTTGTGTCCTCAGCCAGATGCCTGAGAACTCAAACCAGGCAATGTCTAGAAGGCCTCCACTGTGCCCACAGAGCAGAGCCCCATCCCAGGAGGGAGCCGGTGAGGGGCTGAGCCACATCAGGGCTGCCCTGCAGACAGATTGCTTATTCCAGCCCTGGAGAGGCCGGGGCCACAGTCAGCTAGAAACAGCAGCAGGTCTCCAAAAAACTCTGGGTCTGAGACGCTGAGCTCAATGTTACCACAATAGTAGTATCTGCTGTGCTTAAACTGCCTGAGTGCGCAAAAGAGAACCAGGGCAACCTGAAGGGCTGGATTATTTCCTCAGACCCTTTTGGAAAGCTTCAGAGATGAGCGCCCTGCTATCTCTGAGTGCACAGTACGTGGAGACTCTGAGGGTCACACGTGGGAAGTGGAGCCCCACAGAAAGATGATTCACTCACTGCTCCTGCTGGCCGCCTGCACAACTTCCACGCAAGAGGAACGGTTGTCCGCTCTGATGAAGGAGTCAATGGCTTCCTTCACCAAGTCTCTCTGGAGTTGGGCTCGAGCCAGCTGACTCCACACGGCAGGCTCACTGCATCTCTCTGCAAACTCATAGGCTCGGTCTAGGCTTCCGATGTCCTCGATCAGGACCTAGGGACAATGAGAGAGAGGACGTGCATTCTCCTCAATACCTGGCCAGCTCCAAGGAACAGAGAGACTTTTGCTTGGCTCCCTATTCTGCCTCAAGTTGCACGACCATTTTGATTCAGTGCAAAACAATTCTGTGCTAAATATTTCTCAGGTGAATGAATTGAGAGATGTAAGAGCTGTCATGTGGGAGGGGACACCAGACAAAGAGGAGACGATCCAGAAAAGAGGCATGAGGGGATGGAGCTTTCTGGCTGAAGTTTCTGGGCCAGGGTAGGACATGGATGGGACTTCCTCATGAGCTTGGAAGGAGAGACAGCTCAACCGAGCACAGAGCCTATAAGGCAGCTGTGGGGAATGAGACTGCTCAGGAGGCAGAAACAGGCTTGCTGAGCTGCGGTGACGCACACTGACATGTGGCCGTGGAGGAGCGGTGGCAGCAGCCCCCTGTGCAGAGGGGGTCTGTTTCAATGCCAGGCTAGAGCCTACATGTGGGTGCAAGAGAAGGGCTTCCAGATCAGAGGTGTCACCGGCAGGTGCAGAAAACGGGAAAGGAAGAGGAGGGCAGTGGAGAAAATGGTGAGAGCAGTCACAGTGAGGTGTCCCGTGGCTTTCAGCTGATTTGCAAACACGAATCAGAAAAGGCTCATGGACTGGCAAGAAAGGGACATGGCTGCAGGGAGGAGTTCCTGGGGGAGGTGAAAGGCAGGACAGGCAGGGAGGGCTGGCAGGAAGCCCCCCGCTGAGAAGGCCTGGTGGCAAAGAGGGTTGGGGCCCCTGTGACAGCAGGACTTGGGTCCAGGAGAGCTGCTGGACTGACAGCTGGACAAGGAGCCGGTGGGCTGTGGAGGAGCAGAGATGAGCAGGGTCTGATACACCAGGGCTGGAGGGGAGCTCGGCTCAGTAGAGGGGGCTCCTCCAGCAGGTTGTGCCCAGCAGCCCACCTGGACTGCTGAGGTGTTCTCGTCAAACTTGCCGAAGATGGCGAAGGCCTCCTCATGCAGCCCGCTGCTGAGGGCGATGCTGGCCATGTCTGGGGCATCATAGTTGTCTAGGCGGCTGTCGTACTCCATGACACGTGAGCGGTCTGCCTTGATGGCGGTCAGAATCAGCAGGTTCTGGAGATTCCTGAGGAGAGGGGTGGTCAGTGCGCACCATAGGATGAAGGCTACAGAAGTACTTTTTGGCAGGTCACGTAGCCCAAACCCTCAATTTTTAAAAAAGTAATTAATGTACACATTCAAGACTCTAACAAATAGAAAACAGAGTATTTGTGAAGTACGTGGGCTCTCCAGGAAGCCCTGGGTGAGCAGGGGAAGGGAGTCTGAACAGTGTCAGCCACTGAGGGCTGCTCTGGCTTCTCAGGAGCCCCTTTGCGGCCCCCACTTCAGAGTCACCTGTTTTTCACAACTGCGTCTCTACAATTCTTTGCAATTCTTTAGTTTCATCACATCCACAACATCACTAAGCAATATAGGTAGTTTTGTATGTTTTTGACCTTAATGTTGCTTTTTTGTTAGTTGACCATACTAATGCATTTTTATACAATTTTTCTTTCAGTCTATTCAAAAACATGGAACAAGTCAGACCAAGATGCAGAGGCTCACACCTGTAATTCTAGTGACTCAGGAGGCAGAGGCAGGAGGATTGCTTGAGGCCAGGTGCTCGAGACCAGCGTGGGCAACATAGGGAGACCCCCGTCTCTACAAAAATGCAAAGAACTAGGCAGCATATATATATCTGCAGTCGCAGCTGCTTGGGAGGCTGAGGCAGGAGGATTGCCTGAGTCCAGGAGTTCAAGGTTGCCATGAGCTGTGATGATGCCACTGCACTGTAGCTAAGGCAACAGAGTGCATAGTTTGAGGCAAAAAAAAAAAAAAAAAGAAAGAAAGAAAAGAAAAAGAGTAGCCCACAGCTAATATCATAAGCAACAGTGAGAGAGTGGTTGCTTTCTCCGAGGACCAGGGCAAGACTCAGTTGTCCGTTCTCACTACTTCCACGGAGCACTACACAGCAGGGCCTCATCAAGGCAAATTTAGGCAAAAATGACAGAGATCCTCATTTTGTGTCTCCTTGACAGATGATGCGGCTGAGATCTTGCCGTGGGCCCACCTCCTGCCTTTCTTCTCCCCACAGGGCCGGTTCAAATGCTCTGCTTGGGTTCAGCACCTGTGGCTCAAGCGGCTAAGGCTCCAGCCACATACACCTGAGCTGGTGGGTTGGAATCCAGCCTGGGCTCACCAAACAATGACGGCTGCAACCAAAAAATAGCCAGGTGCAGGAGAATCGCTTAAGCCCAGGAGTTGGAGGTTGCTGTCAGCTGTGATGCCACAGCACTCTACCCAGGGCGACAGCTTGAGGCTCTGTCTAAAAAACAAAAACAAAAACAAATAAACAAACAAGAAAAATGAAAACCAAATGCTCTGCTTGGTTTCCACTATGCTAGTGTTTTCCCTCATTTCATCTTCCACACCCCACTTTTGCTGGTCATGCTGTGAATTCCTTCGCCCAGCTGTACCTCCCTTTTCTTTATCATCTTCACGATACAGTTCTTTAGTTTAACACAGTCCTGTTGGCTTTTTACTAAAGGTTTATGGTTTTTGTGACTGGCTTATGCTTTCCTCAGGTCATAAATATCTTCTTCTTTTTTTTTTTTTTTGAGACAGAGCCTCAAGCTGTCACCCTGGGTAGAGTGCTGTGGCATCACAGCTCACAGCAACCTCCAATTGCTAGGTTCAAACAATTCTCCTGCCTCCACCTCCCAAGTAGCTGGGATTACAGGCACCTGCCACAACACCCAGCTATTTTTTGGTTGCAGCTCTCATTGTTGTATGGTGCACCCGGGCTGGATTTGAACCCGCTAGCTCAGGTGAATGTGGCTCGTGCCTTAGCTGCTTGAGCCACAGGCACCAAGCCAGTATATTTTTCTAAATACAGTGTAGAAGCTAAAATAGTATAATCTTGCCTTTTACATTTAAATCTTTTCATAGTTACAAGATGCCCAACTTTAATTTTTTCTGTATGGATGACCAATTGTCCCAACACCAATTACTGAAAAATCTACCCCTTCCTCCAGTTTAGCCAGCTCTGTCATAAATACACATGGGTATATTCCAGGAACCTTTATTCTATTACAATGGTCTGTTTTAATTCTATCTCTTTGCCAAAATCATCGTGTCTTAATTTAGTTGTATAGTAATTGTGGTTAGAGTAAGAGTTATTTTCCAACATCTGCCCATCTCTTAGGTAATTATGATTCACTTTGGGAGCAACTGGACTATTTCTGGCATTTTGTCCCTGTGGTTGAAAACCTCTTTGTGGGCTGGGTGTGGTGGCTCATGTCTATAATTCCAGCACTCTGGAGTGCTGGAGGATTGTTTGAGCTCAGGAGTTTGAGACCAGCCTGAGCAAGAGTTAGCCCAGACCTACCAAACGTAGAGAAATCTGCCAGGTACAGGTACCTGTGGTCCTAGCTACTCTGGGAGGCTGAGGCAGGATTGGTGTGTTTTTTAAATAAATATGTATACTCTTTTTTTTTTTTTTTTTTT